CTATCTTACTCTTATTTTAATATAAATTTATTTTATGATACTGAGAGTCTTTGCCATTTGAATACCTTCAGTTGCTAGTTGTTTGTATGTTTATTTATTTTTGAGACAGAGTCTTGCTATTTAGCCAAGGCTGACCACAAACTTACAGTTATCCTGCCTGAGCCTCCCAACTACTGGGTTTATAGTCATATGCACTATGGGTCTGGACTCAGTTTTCCTTTTTTAAATTTTATTAATTAAAATTTTTTCTTTCTGAGACAGGGTGTTGCTCTGCACGGTGGCCTTGAACTCACTGTGTAGCCCAGGCTGTCCTTGATATCAAAGTCCTCCTACCTTAGCCTTGAAAGTGCTAGGATTATAGTACACACCATCATGTCTAGCTTGTGTCATCTTTGTATTGTTTTGTGGAAGTTACTTATTAAAAAAAAAATTTATGAGCAGGCTAATAATGCAAAATATTTTTCAGGTATAATTTTTTTTTAATGGTAGCGAAGTTTTATTAAAGGTAAAAAAATAAACAACCTCTGCAGAGTGAGTTTGACCAAGTAAGTCATAAATAAATGCATCCCATAGAGTGAGGGCAGCTTCCATGCAAGAGTGACCATTGTGCGAAATCAAGTATAATTTCTCTGCACAAAAGCCAGGAAATGTTTTTTGTGAGAGCAAATTTCCAAAATAAGTTAAAATTTCAACGTTAAGACTTTAGTAATAACAAGGACAATTGTAAGTGCATTCATTCTATAAAGTGCAGCAAGATTTTTATGCCCATATTTGTTGGTTTAAAAAAAAATTATGACTGGTAGTGATCCTCCTGTTTTCAGCCTCCCCAGCCCTGGGATTATAGGCATGTGCCACCCACCCGGACTTGGTCACTGGCTCATTGGACCTCAGGGGTGGGCCTGGCATGGCATGCAGGAGCAGGGTCCCTGCACTTACCCAAGCAGGCGTTTAGTCTGCTGAGCTATCTAGTCAGCCCCCCCAAAAATAAATTTTTTTTTTAAAAAATCTCACCATTGAAATGTTATCTGACTTTCATTCCTTTTCTGTGAATTTATCTCTCTGCCCATCTCCAGCCTACCCTAACCCTTGTGCACACATTTTTTTCTTGTTATAAGCAGCTACATTTATCATTAAACCATGTGCATGTTCAAGAGTCTACACTGGCTATTGAACCACTTACATTCATTCTGAACATAGCACTGCATAATTGAATCTCACAATACTCAGGTAATCCTCAACTCTTCCCGAATCAGACAGTTGGGTCTCCACTCCCTTCTGCAGCTCTTATTCTGCAGTTCTTCACACTTATACAGGGTGCAAAAATAGTGGATTTCACATAGAATCATGGAATACCAGGATTGGAAGCGCTCTTAGAAACCAAGAACCTGCCAGGCGTGGTTGCACATGCCTGTAATCCCAGAACTCGGAAATCTGAGACAGAAGGATTACTGCAAGCCTTAGGCCAGCATGGGCTACTTAGTGAGACTCTGTCTCAAAACTGAAGCGAAATGACCCATTAACCTGCAGTGAAAGGGAAAATCCAGGCCCAGAGGTGTATGAAGTGACTTGCCTAAGACCATGTATCAGTTAATAGCTGGACAGAGGTCAAAATTCAGGGCTTTTTTTCCCCTCAAAATTTAGCATGGCAATCACACCAAATCTGTGTTGCTGATGGCCTCTGCTCACTCTACTCCATGGTAGGGGCCTTCTGCCTTCTCAGCTTCTGCCTTTTAAGTCCTGCTCTTTATTCTTGGCTTCCTTAGATACTTTGTTCACATTGATATTACCTTTGTCTAAAGTTACCAACACACACCCCCATAAAGTTGTTTAGCTTTCATGTGAGTAGTTACTGCCATCCTATTTATCATATGATCTCCTACTACTTTATAAATTTATTCTAATTCTTTATGACTTTTGCCAAATTTATCACTCCAGATTAAAATGAAATCTTCTCTAAGATCCTCTAAAGCACCTAGCAGGAAGTAAGAACTCAGTAAATGCTTGTTGGTTATGTGGTTTCTGGAAAGTCCTTGTTTTCTTACCTTCCAGAGTTGTTTTATGTTGTCTTACCAGTTCTGTGAAAAATTCCCATAAGAATACATACTGATTTGAGAATAATATTACTTCTATGTTTTAATAATGCAAAGAGCCCTCTTCTTTAACAGTTATGTTTATAGCTGAATCTTTGTCAAGGATTCTATTTCTACATGACTTTTATCACTAAAACTCTGTATGTAAGTTAGCATTTCTTTTAATATGCACAAATGATTCAAATTATTCTTCCCGCAGAGGCAATGCCACTTGCTTTGCATATGGACAGACAGGTGCTGGAAAAACCTATACTATGATCGGAACCCATCAGAACCCAGGATTGTATGCTTTGGCTGCCAAAGATATCTTCAGACAACTGGAAGTGTCCCAGCCACGAAGGCACCTTTTTGTGTGGATCAGTTTCTATGAAATCTACTGTGGACAGCTTTATGACCTCCTAAATAGAAGAAAAAGGTAGTGACATATGAGTGGGAAGCTATAGATCTTTTCATCCTTGGTTAAGCCAGAGCCCCTGCAAAATCACTTTAATCACATGGGCTTTAATATTAATGCTGTTTTCTGAAACAAGAGTGTCCTACATCAGACACTTATTTTTAAATTTTCAGTTCAGCTAGAGAAAAATGTAGGTAAGTGTTCCTTTTTTTTTTTTTGGTTTTTGTTGTTGTTTGTTTGTTTGTTTGTTTGTTTGTTTTTCTTTTTGGTACTAGGAATCGAACTTGGGACTTTGTGCTTCCCAGGTAGGCTCTTGTCCTGCTGAGCTATATTACAATCCCAAACTTGTAATCCTTCTTCTTTAGCCTCCTCAATGCTGAGAACATGTACCATTGTAATCAGCTGCACTAATATTTTTTAATTAAATGCATTGTTTTATTTTATTAGTACTTATTTGCAGTACATAATGATTACATCCATTGTGGGGAGCTGGTATGTACCTAACTCATCTTCATTCTTTTAATATCCCCTTTCCCATACTCAATCTCTGGGTCCCTTCCCACTTGCAAAAAAAAAATTTATCTCCCTGTTTCCTATTTTCTGTCTTTTATTATGCCCTTTAAATTATTTATACATTCAGTTTATCTTTTAAGAGAAATCACGTAATATTTGTTTGTATGCCTGATTTATTTCACTTAATATTAATGTATCCATTTTCCTTCAAATGATTCAAGTTTATTTTTCGTGGCAGAATATTTCTCCATTGTATTTATTCATTTATTTTTCTCCATTGTATTTAAATATACGTTTTTTACCCATTCATCTGTTGATAGACATACAGGCTGCCTCCAAGATTTAGCTGTTATAAGTCGTACTGCAAACACATGAGTATATGTGTATCACTGTAGTGTAGTGTCATTAACTCTTTTTATTTTCTTTTTCCGTTTTCTTTTTTTTTTTTTCCAAAATTTTATTGATAAACAGCAATGAGACAGTTTCAAATCAAATCGGAAGTACAGTTTCAACAAATAACACACTGCATATATTCTTCTTAGT